AAAGAACACAGCTGCCTCCAATGGTCAAGAAGGCCGCGTTTTGTAACAAGTGTTACTCGAAGACCGCTTGCTTCATCTACCACAAGCTTGCTGATAACGGTGATGGAGAAACGAGTGGTCTTGGTGACGAATTCGTTAAAGCTACCCAACACTTGAATCCACAACACCAGGACTTTTTCAAAAAGTGGGATGAATTGTTGACCAAAGAGGAACAAAGCATGACAAGGTTCAAACGCGAGCTTTGGACTCTGTTGAGTAGTGAGCGCGAAGCTCTTGGCCGCTGCTTCGGCAATGTTGTGATCAATCCTGACCATACCTATGAAGATAAGGATGGACCCAAGATCAACCGGTTTCGATACACTTTCCGCAAGAAGCAAGCACCTCCGGGTTTCTCCTTCACAGAATCCCAACTCAGCATAGGCGAGCCCATTGTGGTTTCTGATGAGAAAGGCCACTTTGCCCTTGCAAATGGTTATGTCGTTCAGGTCAGCGCGAAACGCATCACCGTTACGGTTGATCGAAAGCTCCACGGCAGGGCGCGGATGAAGGGCTTCGATGCCGAATACAACCAGTCTTTCAAAGGCATCATGCAGATACTTGACGAAGGTGTTTCCTCCCCGCCAGTCGAATTGGACGAAGAAACTGTTTATCGCCTGGACAAGGATGAGTTCAGTAACGGCATGGCAATTGTCCGCACAAACCTTGTTTCCATGATGGAAAAGGACCTTTTCCAAGCCAAGCAATTACGGAGATTGATTATCGAGGGTGAAGCGCCTACTTTTAAGCCCATGGAGCCAGGCTATGCACTGCCTGGTGTTGACAAGGCGAACTTGAACGTCGACCAGAAACAAGCGATCGACAAAGTCATGAGTGCCCGAGACTATGCGCTGGTACTTGGAATGCCTGGAACGGGAAAGACGACAACCATTGCCCACATAATTCGCGCCTTAGTCGCGCAAGGGAAAAGTGTTCTGCTCACTTCTTATACCCATACTGCTGTTGACAATATTCTGCTGAAGATCCGGGATGACAACTTCCGCATTTTGCGGGTCGGTGCTCCTACGAAGGTGCATCCAGATGTGCAGCAATTTGCTGACCTCGCGGCCATCCCGAAGAAATCCATTGAAGAGCTCAAGGCATCGTACGAGGAATCGCAGGTGGTGGCAACGACATGCCTCGGGGTCAGCCACAGTATCTTCAGTCAGAGAATCTTCGACTATTGCATTGTGGATGAAGCATCGCAGATCACACTTCCTGTGTGTCTAGGCCCGATCCGAATGGCAAGGACCTTCATCCTTGTCGGTGATCACTATCAGCTACCGCCGTTGGTGCAGAACAAAGAAGCTCAAGAAGGTGGTCTCGATGTCAGTCTTTTCAAGCTACTTTCCGATACCCATCCACAGTCGGTTGTCAACCTTGAGCATCAATACCGCATGTGCGAAGACATCATGCTTCTTTCCAACAACCTCATATACTCAGGTCACCTCAAGTGCGGTACCCCAGAAGTTGCAATACGCTCTCTGAAAATCCCCAACATCGACGGAATCAAGCAGCACCATCATAGCCAGATCCCCCCATCTCCAAATCAGAAACAGTTTTGCCTGGGCACAAGCCAAGGCCGCTGCTGGCTGCGCGATCTCGTCGATCCGTCAGCCAAGACCCGCCTGGTCAACACAGACACCCTTTCCGCGCCTGCGCTGGACGAAACCAACGGCTCCCGGATCGTGAACCCGACCGAGGCCAAGCTCTGCACCCAGCTCGTGGAGGCCTTCATCTCCTGCGGCATCCCCGCCCGGAGCATCGGGGTCATCACCTTCTACCGCAGCCAACTGTCCCTCCTCAAGCTCAACCTCAGCCGCCACCTTCCGGACCTCGAGATGCACACCGCCGACAAGTTTCAAGGCCGGGACAAGGAGATCGTGATCCTGAGCTGCGTCCGGAGCAACGCCGACAACCACGTCGGCGATCTCCTCCGGGACTGGCGCCGCGTCAACGTCGCCCTGACCCGCGCCCGCACCAAGCTGCTCGTGGTAGGCAGCAAGAGCACCCTGCGCGACGGCAACGAGCTCCTCGGCAAGTACGTGAAGCTGGTCCAAGACCGCGGGTGGATCTACGATTTGCCGAAGAATGCCCTCGACAACCACGTCTTCGAATCCGACAACTTCATGGGCTCGACGCAGGCTTCGTCGGTGCACGGAAGAGCCGCAGCAACGCCGAGTCCGGCCAAAAAGAGCTCCCCTGTTTCTGCTGCTGGCAGAAAGTCCGGCGTCCGCAAACCGCTGAGTCCCGTGCAGGCACGACTCACGCCACAGGGTCTGAGGAAGCCGGCTAAGAAGGGGGCGAAACTGATGAGTGGGAACAAGGTCCTTGGAAGTCGACCGGTTCTGCAGGATGTGGTCAATGACCTTGTCGGATGATTTGTTTGTGTTGTGTTGTGTTGTGTTTTTGTAATATGCATTGGTTTACACAGAGATATCATATGAGCGTTGGATTTTTATTGGGTGTATGAGTTGTGGAAATTAGGATCAGGGATTGTGTTCAGAAATACTGGGGTTATTTCCTTTGGATCTTTTTCTTTGGGTATGGATCTGATATCACTTCGTCATCGGCATGTTCAGAAATCACAAGTGTCATCTCTATACATGCAGAATAAACCTTCTTATCTGGATATAACATTCTCCAACACGGGGGGTATAATCAACTACGCTTTTCCAACGGTATCCAGAAAATCTCAACCCCGTCACTGTAGAACCGACGCCCCCACAAACTCCCAGCTAACAAAATGCCGTCCCATCCGCCGAGCAGCCGCAATCACATCCTTGCCCACCTTCTCTTCATCCTCGCCCCTCCCCGAAGGCGCAGCAGGCATCAACGCCGGAAGCACCAACAGCGAATACCCATCTCGAGCCTCCACCGCCTCCCGTCCCAGCGCATTCGCCGAGATAGCAAACCAAGCGGACGATGATGCCGCAGAGCCGCCGGCAGCCGTCTCGCGCCTACCACCACAGAAGTCAGTAGCCGTTTCTTATACAGGTGATTTTGGGGAGTGAGAGTGGGGAACCGGAATTCTCCCAGAAAGAACGCACAGCAAATGCACCAGCAGCCCCACAATCCATTTGGGAGGGATCAGGCCGCGCCACCGCAGAGTCACGAGGTCGGTGGGTGTGGCCTCGTCCGCGTCCGGCACGCTGTAGCGGCTCAGGTACGGGTCCACGTCGTCGGCGGCGGTGGCGCGCGGCGAGGCGAGGGAGACCATCGCCAGCCATTCGGAGATCTCGGTGCATTGGTTTTGCAATTGCTCTTGGTGAGCAGCGGTGGTAGTGGCGGTGGGGGATGAGTCCATGAGTTTGAGGGTGTCGAGAGGCGGAACGAGGATTTGGGGGTGTTCGGTGATGGCGGGCGTGCAGGGGATGATTTGGGGGTGGTTGTTTTTGAGGGATAGGTCGTCTGGTGCTGATGTGTTAGTTTGCGGTATGCAATATACTCCGATAATAGGGCCTGCTTTAGGGAGAAAGCTGGGAGAGGGGGTTGGTTGGGAGGAGGGTACCGTCGGCGATGCCATTAGTCTCGGACGAAAGATCGAAGAAGAGCCAGGCTACGGATTGAGTAAGGACGTTTTGGAAGGCCCATTCGATCCGCTTGAAGCCCTTCTTGCCATGGAGCATCGATGGTAAGCGGAGATTGAGCTCGATGACTAGTTCGAGGGTTAGCTTCTTCTTCCAAGGGAAGTTGATGGTCGGTTGGCATTGGATAGAGGGAGGCCGTACTGTATCGCTCTTTCACGTGTTTCCTGCCGCCGCTGCGAATGGGCTTGCCGGTTAGTCCGGTTCGTTCGAAGATCTCCCTGCTGAGCTCGAGTTTCAAAATGCCTGGGGGGTTGGTTAGTGAGCTTCGTTCAGACGTGGAATCAGACGGAGCGGAGGCGGGGGCCTACCATCTCGAAGCGTGAAGACGCTGTCTGAGCCTGATCGGCCCTCAGATATCATGAGAATATTTCCTACGAAAGCAGTCAGCACATTCAAGCCACCACTGAGTGAGAATGCAATTCACCTTTCTTGATGTAGGTGTTGAAGAATTCCGTCTCCAGTAGAGACGACAGGGACATGAATACCCGCGCATAGCGGAGCTTCTGTAGTTTGCTGTCCAAGGATGCTTGAATGGTCGTGTATGCCTCTTTTGGTAAGGTGACTTCGACCTGATGATATTGTTAGCCATGATCTGTTGTGTTGTGGGCCGACATACCGTATGGACGAAAGGATGGCCCAGAATGGCCGAGAACGGGACTTTTCTTGTCGGTGGCTGCTTAGGATCGATGAATGGCGGCAGTTGTCCTAGACTGGTGAAGCACTTCTCGCGCCTGGACGCATCGTCGTTGAATTCTAACATGACGTAGATGGTTTATAGAGACGATTTGAAAGCGATTGTTGTCGATTTGGCTTGGATTTGTTCAATATTGTTTTCCTTAAGCACGACTGAAAAAAAGTTCGGATGCGATTCCAGCCCGGAGAGTTTTATCGCTCCCTTCAGTTTCGCTGGTAATGAGATCACGGAGATGATCTGCTATACAGTCCGGACAAATTATACCAGTAGCAGTGAGATCAATTGGAAAGTAGTGTACCGTGACTTTTCTGTACCACTGGCTGTGAACCCCAAGTATATCTCCTGAAGAGAAGGGACTCAATAACCTCGCCGGTCACCTGACCTGATTCCGCCGTGACTACGTATGGGATTGCTTGAGATCGACTTGACGAAAGGAACTTATCAACGGTCAGTAATAGCTTGGGATGCTTGGGATGAATCGAACTTAATGAGTATTTCTGCAAGTAGATCGGTAGGGCAGCATAAGCTGCAGTCTCAAGAACATATACTGCATGCGCATATAAAGATACAGCTCCGTGATCCGACCAATCAGGGAGGTGCGGGCATTGAATGATACGGAATAGTAGCAACTGGAACTCCGCGTCGCGGCAACTTTACCAGCTCACTTTCCAGCTCCACATCTTCTTCTGCCAAACCTCCCACTCTTTCAATTGCAATTGTCCTGACTCAACTTAAGCCACAGCCCGTTGCCTGATTGCTCCTCTTCTCCGTGTGTGAATTATCACTTCAACCTACACCAAAAACAGCCCCTCGGGGCTTCTCATCGGATTGGCAGCCCGCCGCAATCGCAAATCTGCCAGTGCCCGCACCGCAGCAGCGACAGCACCGCAGCACCACCGTCCAGTCGGCAATGGCGCCCCCTCCTCCTCGCCGGAATCTACTCCCCAAGGACCGATTTGCCTTCAACTTTGGGAGTCTAAAGACTCAGAATTACCATGATCCTGTTGCGCGTGGACCGGGATCTCACACGTGCGTGTTCCGCTCCGCTCCCCCGACGACATGAAGCATTGAAAGCATCATGGATCCAGAACTCCTACTGATACGAGCCGACGGCGGTTGTACACACACAGTATCCGAACAATCGCCTGGAACCCCACGGGCCAGCTAGTTGCAACTGGGTCCGCCGACCGCACCCTCCGAATCTGGAACCCCGAGCGCTCGCAAGTCAAATACTCCACCGAACTGCGCGGCCACACGGCCGGTGTTGAGAAAGTCGTCTTCAACCCCACGCGGGACTCGGAGCTAGCCAGCTGCTCGACGGACGGCACGGTGCGGTTCTGGGATGTGCGGTCCAAGACGTGCGTGAGCCGGCTGGACGTGGGCACGGAGGCGTTCACGCTGTCCTGGTCTGCGGATGGGAGCACCCTCATCGTGGGGAGAAAGGTTGGTATAGCCCTGCTGCAACAACAACAACAAACACACCGACTTACTGACGAGCACTTCAACCCAACAGGACGACACCCTCATCCCCATCTCCATTGAATCCCTCTCCACGCCGACGCCCACGACCACCCTCCTCACCGACAAACCCCCCACAGCCGCAGCAGCAACAATAACCCCCGCAACAAGCATCTACCGAGTCCTCGAACCCCACCAACAACCCGTGCAGACCAACGCAACGACCTTCTCGCACCACATCGCCACCGCCGCCGCCCCGGACCTGCACCTCTTCGCCACGACGGGCGAGGGCACGGTCAAGATCCTGTCGTACCCGAGCTTTTCCCTGCTGCACACGCTGCACGCGCACACCTCGGCGTGCCTGTCCATCGCGCTGGCGCCGACGGGCCGCTACCTGGCCGTCGGCGGCAGCGACGCCCTGATCTCGCTGTGGGACACCACTGACTGGATCTGTCGCCGCACCGTCTCCAGCAGCAACGGCGGCGCCGTGCGCGGCGTCAGCTGGAGCTTCGACGGCCGCTTCCTCGTCGGCGCCTGCGACGAGGTCGGCTGCGGCGGCAACGGCCTCGAGGTCTTCCACGCCGAGACCGGCGAGTCCGTCTACACCGTCCCCGTCGGCGGCAACGCTAACTCCGGTATCCCCGCCGTCGCCTGGCATCCCTCGCGGTACTGGCTGGCGTACTCCACTACCGCCGATGGGAGTGGCCATGGTGGGTTGAGGATCGTCGGGGCGGCGGGGGGGAATCTATAGTTGCTAATGCTGCTGCTGCTGCTGCTGCTCAGAAGATGAATGTTATGATGTTGTGTTGTCGAGAGGCAATAAGGGGTTTGTTGGTGTATGACGTCCCTCCATCGTAAGAGGGTTCTCGTGCCAAACCAACCCTGGTGTTCTCCAGTTTCAAGGCGTTTCTATGGTGTTGTGTTGTCAAGGCAAGTTTGCTGGTTCTGGTCGCATATGGTTCTTGGATGCTCTCTTTCACTTTGCATTTCTTTTTTTACAGTTGCGGATATGGAACGAATGTCATAAGACTTATTCTGTAAAGAATATAGAGAAGTACTTCACGAAAGCTTAGGATAAGTCTACGAAAGTGTAGGACGCATTGGCTATATTGAATCTTGACAGGGGTGATCTCATGGGGTATGGTATGTCCAAATGCTAACTCAACTCAGTATCATTTCCCCCCCCCCCCCCCTACCCCCACATCAATGTACAATTCGTGAGTCTCGTGATATTTCCCGCCCAGCGGCTCTATATAGTAATTGATCATCATTCTGTCTTGTTCCCCCAAAAGATTGGCATATGCAAATATGCGAATGTCAATGCAGAATATTCGGATCCGGGTAGGCGTCCCAGTTGGTGGTCAGAAGCTGCGCCCACTGGGCCTCGCTGAGACCGTCCAGGCCGCCGGACATGCTGTTGTCCAGGGTGGATCCATCGAGCCCTGAGAACGCGAGCGCATTCACGTCCCACCGCGGGACCCCAGCGAAGACATCGGGATACCCACCGCCAGCGTCCAGTGGGTTCGCCGAATTGGCGAACATAAGGTTTGCTGCTGCGGTCGAGATGGTGTTACAAGCTGCGGCAGCCGAATCGAGGGAGCTGGCTGGGGTGGCGATGAAACTGTTGGCGGCGAGCCCGGATGGCTGCTGGGGGCTGAGTCGCGTGTACGACGAGGTGGCGGAGGAGGAGTGCACATCCGGGGAGAGCGAGTCGGTGCGCAGATCTACACTGCTGCCGCCGCCGCTATAATCGACTACCACAGGATGGCTCAGGTCTCGGTCCGGGGTGTGGATCTCGTCTCCGAATGTCGGGGGCTGCTGTTGTTGTTGGGTGCGATGTCTTTTGCGCCGGTGGGCGGCTGCTGCTGCGTCACTCAGCGAGGGATTGGCTTGGCGGACTTCGAGGCGGATCTGCTGCGCGACTGAAGAGGACCGGGAACTGGAGCCGCAGCTTCCTTGCGATGCGTCGAAGGGGTCTAATTCAGGTTGGACTCGTGTTTGACCGACGTTCAGTAGAGATGAGTCGCTGGAGTAGCGTCTCTCGGTGAACGCCTAGAGAGGGCAAGCCGATTAGCACACAATGATTCTCTGAGGGTTTCAAAGAAAGGAACGGCGCTTACCGCGTCTCGCTGCAGACCTGCTCTCATGAAGCATGCTTTCTTCGACTGATTGAAGTCGGACAATACCGTACCTGCGGTATCGAGATCCAGCTGAAAAATAAACGATTCCGCAAGCGGGTTCTTGGTCTTCAGGAGGTGAAGTGCGGAAAAGACGAATTGTAAGGATGAGCGGGCAGCCGAGTCGTCCGGCCGGAATTTCAGATATTGTACAAAGACGCGTGCCGCAACATAGACGCAAAATGGTGTGAGGACATTCATCTAAGATGTGTTAACGCGGACTGAGTCAAGCCTTAGATTCGAACTCAAGCTCACTTTGCTGGGGTCGACATGGCTGCTCAACCTCAAGATGTTCGAGATCTGCTCCGCAGCCAAGATACATCTTCTCTTGCTTTCGGTGGCAATGGGCCCTGGCATCCTGTTCTTTTCCGCTTTGAAGATAGCCGCCTGGTGGAGACAGATAGTGGCCGTATGGATGGCCATGTTGCAGAAGATGACGTTGGGGTCGGTTGTCCCAACGGATAATCGCAGATGAGAAGGCATAGTGAGAGAGAAATGGAGCAAAATGTTGTCATGGGACCTGTGTCGCTGCCAATAGACTCCATTGAGGTCGTGATCGTCATCGTGTGGATTGGGCCGATGGAGATGGGCAAGGTTCTTGCCAAAGATGCTGGCCATGAAGGCCACACCCCCGAAAGCAGACAGGGTAGGCATGCCCTCTCCCGCGTGCGCAGCTTCTAGAGAAACTGTTTCTTGGGGCTGGTTCTTGAGGAAAGCCTCTTCAGAGGCTGGTAAGTTGGTCAAGACCTGTGGAGCCATATCAGTTGGACGTTCTCTTTGAGCACACATGCATTTGGTCGCAACTCACATCTCTGTCGTCGAAAACGACAGGCCACCCAGTGCCAATGCTCGCAAACCGGTCGGCACAATACGCCATCCAGAATACCCGCCGTCGCTCCTCTTTTTCATTCCAGTCTTTTGCAGCAGTCAATGTTTGCTTCACATCGATACCTTCCCCATCGACCCGATTCAACCCGATCATGATAGCCAGCCTTGCGGCTTTTCCGGAACTCAACCACGCTCGAGGGAAGAACATCATCTTGAACTCGTAGGTGCAGATGAGCACCCAAGCCTGACAGTGACCTAAAGACACCGCATGTTCGCCCAGTCCTTTCAGTTCGTCCGCTTCGGCGTACTTGCGGGCTCGCTCGTAGAATACCGAATGCAAGCTGGAGTATTTGTCGCTGATAGATGCTGCGTGACTCCACATAATATACTGCAAGCACAACGGGGGACGTGTGCTGGGGCCGAGGCTCATGGCCGCCAGTAGCCTGGGACGATGTAGTATGGGAATCCCAGGGTGGATTTTCTCGAAGTATATCTCATTCCTGTTGGAAAGAGTGAGAGAGTGAACACGGGGGCAAAAGGTGCTATGCTGCAGACATACAGCTCATCAATAATTTCTTGACTCGGAAGAGGCTCCTCCAGGCCAAGACTGATCATTTCCATGCCATAGTCCGGGGAGTTGGTCGGGCCAGCTTGCTGGAACGCCTGAGCGGGGAACGGGTCGGAGATTCGATCATGATGTTGCTGGAATTCGCTCGATTCATTAATGATGGACAGGATCTCGGCGATATCGGTTGAGTGGTTTGTGACTGCGCCGGGGAAGCCGCTCCCTTGGTCTAGTGGTGGATTGGTTTTCTGGTTCTTCAATAGGTTCTCGACTTGCGCTGCACGTGGGAAGTGGAATGTCAGTAAGGGAGGGGCAGCTCAGAATCTGTTGTGTCCTCCGCAGTCAACGTACCCAGTCGCGCTTCCAACTGTTTCACATAACCTCGTTTGGGCCCGCTTTTCTTGCGAACTTCATCGAAAACGCATTCATGGCCGAGACGGGAGCAAGTGCCGCAGCTGGGTCGCTTCCCGTCGCATCTCAGCTTTCGCCGCCGACAAAGTACGCAGGCAATGCGCTTCGGACGCGGAACGTAGTGGCTGTCTGCATCGCTGTGTCCGGTCTCGTGCGTCGAAGAGGAAATTTGCAGGTCCTGCGAGGATGACGAAGGGTGAGGATCGGAGAGATGATGTGGGGGGCGGTTCGAATCTGTCATGGCCGGAGAAGGCGCGTGCAAGGAACAAGCAAGGAAAGGAATGACGCAGAAAGAGGAACACAGCGGAACCGGTCGGAGGAGACTGGCTCTCGATTCGCAGGACAAACAACTAGGGAATGTAGTAAAGTTGGTCCGGCATTGGCTTTTGGTTAACAATAACGACAAGAGGTCAAATGTCGCTGTCAGTGTGAAACTATCGCTAAGTCAGCAGGAGGCTTCTAGGCGCATCGTCGATTCGAAGTCGTTCCTGGCTAGTAACTTTGGCCACCACCGGCCGTCTGGAAAGCCGCGAGTCGATGATTTTTGGCCCTGCTCTGATCTGGAGGAGTTCTTTGCTGGAACGGAATGCAAATGGTTCCTTTAAAGAATTACAAATAAGTGACCCACTGGCAATGTCGTTCAACCGGAGATCGATTGTTCTTCGCTCACGACTCGCGGAACAATAACGGCGACCATTATTAAGTTGAGCAAGGACCACCTTCTCTCATTGGCCAACGCCATGCTGATTCTACTTATCCTGGTACTCATTCATTAGGACATCGCTTGATATAAAAGGTAAATCTTGGATTTGATAACCATGTAGCAGTAGTAGTAGTATACAAAAACAACGCCAGAGAATATGAAGGTGGACATTTCCATAAGACCCGGACGGAAAGCAGTGTAACAAAAGTAGATATCTAAAACCCTCGAGGAAAAGCCATGCCGGAGACGAAATAAAGTACATACAACCGAATGCAAATGAGAAGCGGCCTTGGGCAAGTGATTCAGAGCATTCTGACTGTGCCCACCCCAGCACCTTTCCCATCGAGAAGTATAGTCACACTTCGAACGTGATGCTTGCCGCATGAGGGAAAATCGAGGGAAAGGTAAAACAAAATGTACATGATAGAGCGTCTAGCTGTATCCACGGCGACGCTTGCCCTGGTTGCGAACTCTGGGCACGACGACGGCCTTGTTGATCTTCCACTTGGGACGAGTCTTGTAACCGGATTTCGCCTGTACGGAAAGAACGTTAGCCAATCAATCGAATTGAAAAATCCCGGGTATATTGATTGGGGGATACATACCGGCATACCCCAAGGACTCTTAGGATCCACATTACCCTTGGACTTACCACGTCCACCACCGTGAGGGTGCTCAGCGGCGTTCATGGCGAGACCACGGACGGTGGGACGAATATTGAGCCAACGAGAACGACCAGCCTTTCCAAGCTGTCTGTACTGGTAGTTGGGGTTGCTGGCAACACCGATAGTAGCACAACAATCCTTGTGGATCAGTCGAACTTCACCACTTTGTAAGCGGATGGTGATGTGAGAAGCAATGCGCTCCCGCTTTTGCTTTTCATTTTGAGTCACGCGCTTGACCTCGGTTGCACCCTCCTGATCCTTCCTCAGATTCTCCTCGTACCGGGCCTGCTCATCACTACCCTTGGCGATGACCGTGGCAAAAGTACCAGCGCTACGGCACAGCTGGCCGCCCTTGCCGGGACGCAGACCGACATTGAAGATCAATGTACCGATTGGAATCATGTGCAGAGGCAGACAGTTCCCTCTCCAAGCGGTTCTAGCGGCCAAAACACCAGGATCCACAACTCCTCCCATGCTCTTCCAGAGTTCTTCCGGAATTCCGGCCATGTAGCTCTCGACCACATCACCAGCTCTCATCCCATCGGCGGCAAGAATATAAGTGAGCTTCCTGGTCAACTTGCTCCGGACGAGAGCAATGTGAGCGGACCGACCGGGGTCATGTTCGATGCGCTCCACCTCGTGCGGGCCCGGCGCGGCGCGCGCAAAGTCGACCATGCGAATACGGCGCTTGTGACCACCACCACGGTGTCTGACCGTGACTTGACCCGTGTTGTTACGACCACCCTTGGCTTGACCTCGTTTGGGGAAGGTCAATCTATGCACGGGACGTCCTTTCCAGAGGTGATCGTTGATCGGCCTTCGCAAATGTCTGAGACCGGGTGTGCGGGGTTTGTACCTGCGAACCTGGATACCGGATTGTTCACGCGCGGGCGGAGGAGCAAAGGTGATGCTGGGATCGAAAGCTGAAGTGGGAGTCGCGCCAGCGGAAGGAGTTTCGGTTTCGCGGGCGGTGGAGTATGCTCGGGGTGCAATCGCGGAGGAGAGGCATCTGAAAGGCAGGCGCAAGCCCGTCAAGGCCATGCGGGGTTGGAGCATGATGGGAAGAAGTCTCCGATGTGGAGTTTGAGGGCAGACTGAATGGTCAATGGATTGTAATCGGTGTTCAGGCTAATGCCGCAATTGCTATCTTGAATATAGCGGAAAGTCGAGGTAGAGGACTAGTGACTGAGCATACTCGTTCAGAGAAATCATAAAAAAAAAAAACCCGGCACAGAGCAAGTGGAAGATGAGGACCACGTCGAGTGACACCACCGAGACAACACCCCGCTCAATTGCAAGTGTTGTGAGAACCCGGGGATGATTGCAGCACTTTCTTGTCCGTCCGGAACAAAAATGTCGAACATGGTTTGAACGGTGTGGCTTGGCTGTATGTCACCTGATGTACTTCACACCGCCACAGGAAGAGGGAGCTCCGGCGGGGAGTGACTAAGCGTGGCACATTTATATCACGTGATGGGTCGCGCGACACGGCAGACCGATAGGGTTGGTTGCCGTAGTGATGGGCCAGTGTTTTGGCAGTCGTGGCCGCGCAGCATCACGGTCGAGCTCGCGACGGGCGTTTTGGAGGCCAGCAGGTTCAGGTGTCTTTCCTGCCTGGGATGAACTCAGGCATCAACCATGGAAACTGAGATCGATGGATGACGCTTCCATCCACCACAGCAAGTTATGCACTCTCTCTCTTTTTCCTTCCTGACCGTATTGGTACCATTCCTTACCGCACCTTCGCACAGGCCTTTTGCAGAGCAGTTACGTCGGTCATACATCTACTTAACACTTACATACATACATACATATATCGATCTTCTAAGCCGCCCTTCTTTACTGCTCCCCTCGTCCACTCCCCCCCTTTCTGGTTTGCTGTAGACCACCTCCCCCAAAAGCTGGTTCCTTCATCTTCCTCTCCACTCCTACCTTAAAACCACTCACTCACTCACTCACTCACTCACTCACTCCCCCCCCCCCCCCCCCCCCCCCCCCATCGTACATAAACATAAACATAAACATAAATATCCACCACCCATCCACCCCCATCTATCATCCATCAATTCACTTTGCAGACTCTAAGCAAATTCTCTTCACTTTGCATCAACATTACATACGTGGTACAGCGAGCATCATCTGCGTGATCCCACTGGGTTGTGCTGTTACGGGAGTGGGGCATCTTTTCCCATCTTGGCCGGGCTTTTCCACGCTAAGAGTAGGGCCAAACATAGCCTTTGCCCTGTCACCTCTCGACCACCTTTTCCCTAGACTACACTTCTCTATCAACATCATCTGCATCTCCTGGAAGGGGGCTCGACACCACCCATTGAAGCCGCCATTTTGCGCCTGTTTTCTCGTGTCATTGTCGATAATCAACACGTCGACATCCATTTTCTCGCGCCCGACCGACCGTACGCCTCGAATTCAGCGCGAAAATTACGTGACCAACTCAACTCCTCCTCAGACCTTGTCAATAACGTCAACAGGGTCTTATATGCGACTACCTGGAACTTCCATTACCGGATTTCTCTCAAATATCTGACTTGATAGCTTGCAGAGCCTTGCATCGAGCCTAATATATTGGGGTTGGGCAAATAATCACGCGTGGTACGTACGATTCCCGTCTCCCAGTCTCCAGGTATTTGAGCTCCACCGAGGTAATCTCCTCGGGAATGCTGACTAGACACCAGCTAATTGGGAGCTCGCAGTGTTGCTATAGACACTCCATAATTTGTGTTGTTCTTGTTTAGTCTTCCCCCTCACCCTTCTCCTTTCTCACAATATGCCTCCGGTAAGGATTCTCTGATCCAGTGACGCGTCTGTTGTGTCTACTGTTTACCAACCGTGCGGAAACTGCACCCTGGCGTTCTGCCTCCCGTGTACGGAGATTCTCATGCTAATGTCCTTGCAGGCTAGAAGCCTCCGCACGAGAGGTGCCATGAACGAGAACGATGAGAACGGGCCGTCGACGCGCCTGACCCGGGCCAAGGCTGCTGCCCTGTCGTCCGGTGACGCCCACACCACTGCCGCCGCCACCAAGAAACCCACCCTACAGACCAAGAAGGCTGCCACCGCCACCACTACCGGAACTACGAGACGACGTGCGGCTCTCGGAGATGTGAGCAATGTTGGCAAAACAGAGAATGGCGAAGTCAAGGAGGCGAAGAAACCGGCTGCGACCAAAGCTCCCTTGGCACCCAAGAACAACCTGCCGACCGGAGGCGTTCAGAAACCCACCAAAACGAACCCTGCCCGCACCAACCCTGGAGTCAAGAGCGACACCGCGAAGAAGCAGCCCGCAGAACCGAAACGCCCTGGTAGCGGATCTGGAATTGGTGGAAACCAGCCGAGACGGACCACGACCCGCAACCTGCAACAGAAGGAGGCAGTGCCCGAGGAACCCCCATTGAAGAAGGCCAATGTCGAAAAGAAGGAAAAGAAGCCAGTGACCGAACAGGTTCGGGATGAGAACGCCCAGGCACCTATTGATCCCAAGGTTCTGGAGAAGCCCATTGAAGATTTTGTGGATGATCTGGACGCCGAAGACCTCGACGACCCATTGATGGCCGCCGAATACGTTGTTGAGATCTTCGACTATCTTGCAGTGCTTGAGGAGGAGACCTTGCCCAATCCTGACTACATCGACCATCAGCCTGACTTGGAATGGAAAATGCGTGGTATCCTGGTCGACTGGCTCATTGAAGTTCACACTCGTTTCCGCCTACTCCCCGAAACCCTGTTCCTTGCTGTGAACATTATCGACCGTTTCTTGTCTGAGGAGGTGGTCGCCCTGGACCGTCTGCAATTGGTAGGTGTCGCTGCTATGTTTATCGCATCCAAGTATGAGGAGGTCCTCTCGCCCCACGTCGCGAACTTCAGCCACATCGCCGACGAGACCTTTTCGGATAAGGAGATCTTGGACGCTGAACGTCATATCCTCGCCACGCTGGAATACAACATGAGCTATCCCAACCCGATGAACTTCCTCCGCCGCATTTCCAAAGCAGATAGCTACGACATTCAAACCCGTACTCTTGGAAAGTACCTCATGGAAATTAGCCTTTTGGATCACCGATTTATGGAGTACCGCCAGAGCCATGTTGCGGCCGCTGCAATGTACCTGGCTCGTCTTATCCTCGCTCGGGGGCCTTGGGTAAGTTTCGCATCCATATTACCTATCTATCCCGCAAACTAACCCATGGTTAGGACGCCACCTTGGCTCATTATGCTGGATACACGGAAGAGGAAATCGACCCTGTCTTCCGGTTGATGATCGATTACCTTCACAGACCCGTGTCCCACGATGCGTTCTTCAAGAAATATGCTAGCAAGAAGTTCTTGAAGGGTGAGCACACATTGTCCCCGTTCGGCTCATCCTACGATTACTGACAGTCCTTGTAGCATCCATCCTTACCCGGCAATGGGCGAAGAAGTACCACCACCTTTACATTACCAGCTCTCTGTCAGAACCCTACCACTTCATTCAAGAAAAGGAGTAAGAAGAGCGTCTCCTCGTGACGATACTAAACCGGCATCCGACAAAACGACCCACAATAGGAGTTGGTTGATCCATATGATGGTATTTTATTTCTGATGGTATAAGGGCACCTCTTGCATATGTTTACGACGGCATTTTCCTGTTTTCGCTTGCGGATGTTTGCATTGTTCGCTTCAAGGGTGTCTGGCGCTTTTCTCCTCTGCCTTGTGTTCGAGTTTCTCTCTAGTTTCTTCGGCTTGTTTTTTGGTCGTGTCCTGGGCTGTACTTGCTGATACCTACCTAACTTAAATATTCTCCTTCGCAACCCTGGGTGCTATGTGCATTCGGATACACCAAGGTCGGAGATTCTACTCCCAGTGTTATTTCAACTCTCTATCTCATTTTTGGTTCTCCTTTTGCTTACAGCGACTGCTAAATCTCCTTGTCTTGCATCTTTCTTTTTCCACCGTGCGAGCCAGGTCTCTCTACTGTGGAGGTATGTATGCTCAAGACCTGGACGGATCATTGATCACAGCGTGTTGATCATGAGTTGCACATGTCCTGAATAATGGCTATGGGTAAGCACCGAGGCTTCTTCTTGAAGTTCCTACGTGTATGAGTAGAAATAGCTGCAGCTTGCTTGACGGTAGTTCTGGAGTGACGATTCGAGATCAAATCCTTACGAGACAATTTGAGTTGGTTGCTTTCTGTTCGTGGAATCGCTCTAGCATTGGCAATGAAGGAGTTGAATGGGTTTGTTGGGCAATAGCAGCGGCTTGTCGTTTGTAGAACCGAGGTTCCGAGGCTTGGATGCTTGGATTCGGCACCCCGCCCGCCAGCCAGCCACCACATTCATTTGTTGTTTCTACTTCCATTCCTCAACCAGCATGCAACCCACCTCCTTCATAACCAGAATCCTTCTGTGAGAACTCTGGAACCCTTGTTCATTCTAGGCGGCGTTGCAAAAGCAATCGGACAAGCTTTCCTGGCACCCTCAATCCCAATTGCAAAAATTTAGCTGCAGCTGCAGCTGCAAGCAGCACGAACTATATATTTAGATCCCACGCACTGCCGGTGGCGCTCCCATCCACACCTTGAACAACAAGTATACCAAGTCAACTCCATCCAGGCCACTTGAAACCGAAATCAAGCAACCAACCATCCCACCCCCCCATGGATACCCCATCCCCATGCCCCTTCTGCACCATCGCCCACACATCCCCGCCTCTCCCCCCGACAACGTTTCTCCCCCAAAACAGCGATCCCAAGAATGCCTCCCACCCAGCGACGCCCGCTACGACCACCACATCCCCACATTCAGCTCTGGACACCAGGACGGCCCACCTCATCCTCTCGACCCCGTCCCTCCTCGCCTTCCTGGACATTATGCCTCTGACGCGGGGCCATCTCCTCCTCGTCACGCGGGAGCATTACGAGAAGCTGGGCGATGTCGGGGTGGGGGTTAGTCGGGAGGTGCGTAGCTTCCCATCCCATCCCATCAGTCCATCCCGTTGAACTCGTTCTGTTCTATTGTTTCTGTTGTGCTTGTTGGTGTACACAGCTGATAAGGCGGGCAGATCGGCCAATGGCTCCCCGTCCTCTCGCGGGTGGTGATGCGGACGCTTTTCGGGAAGGGGGCGGGTGCGGATGCAGCGGATTGGCATTGGAATGTGGTGCAGAATAATGGTGCGTTTTCTTTTCCTTGCTCTTTAGTTTAGCTGATGGCGGAGGGGGGGGGGGGGGGGGGTAAAGCGACATCACAAGCACAGCAGAGCTACAGCTAAAGCTAACCCGGGACACTGGGGGTGATTGGGACTGGCTACAGGCGTCCGAGCAGCGCAGCAGGTGCCACATGTGCATTTCCATGTGATTCCGCGACCGGAATACAGTAGTGGTTCCGGGGTTGGGCGGCCGAGTTTTGTGATGTTTGGGCGCGGGCAGAGGGAGGAGTTGGATGAGGAGGAGGGGGAGGCGTTGGCGCGGGCGTTGCGGGGGGAGTTGGCGAGGGAGGTGGTCCATGTCAGGGAAGTGGAGGGGGTGGATTTGGACGTGGGGTTCGGGGTTGGGAGGGAGAGGAGGGGGAAGCTTTAGGTTTTGTTGGTATATGAAATAGTGTAGTGCTACATGTATGCATATATAGAATAGACATGGGGAAAGGTTTTGTTCTTGAAATTTATATGGGATTTGTTTATGCTTCTGGAGGTAAGTATCTGAGTATGACGTGATGAAATTTTAGTATGGAATGCACAGAGATCTTTATCCCGGTATCATGAGGCCGGCGTTGCGCTGCCTGATCTGGGCTCTTTGTTGTCGTACTGGGGGTTTTTGGTGAAGTACTAATTTCTCAAGTCAGTATGCGTGGACCCTGTATGGACTACCCGGGGGGAGGGGGAAGGGGCAACGTGCCTTCTTTCTGAAGGAATTCAATTCATCCGCGTAGACACCCTCGGAGTCGAGTCTGCTGCGTCCCTTGGACACATCCCATACTTGTCCTTCGGGGAGTCTGCGATAGGTGATGAGTCGACGGGACCCTGAGATGTCGTTAGTGTTGTCCTTGACCCATCAAAAATGTTGGCAAAAGGCAGACGGCGCCACTTACAGTTGTAGAATGGCTGAACGGACACACTCAGAACCTCGAGGTTCGGGTGCATGGGCGTGTCTAGCTCGAGATCCTCGTCGTTGGCGGTAGGCATCCACATGCACATGCGTCCACCGATAACTAGGGTCCGAGCGGCGAAGTTGAGGATGTCGTTCTGCATGGCCTCGAAGCCGTAGGGCTTCTTCGGGGCAATGTAACCGGGTCGACTGTATATACAGGATCAGCAAAACAGCGCTCTTCTGCCCCAGAGAGTCGCCACTAAAGAAGGGAAGAACATACAGATGAGCCGGCACCCCATCGATAATCACCTCCTCGTTCCGGAGCCCCTCCCGCCTGCCCAGCACCCTCAACCCCTCGCGCACCCCGTACGGCGGATCGCAGACGATCCCGTCGAGGAACGGCTGCGCGCGCAGCGGCGTATTCGTCAGGTCGGAGGAGAAGACATCCAGGAATTGGCCGACGATCGCATACTGCTGGAAGTTGGCGAGCACGCCCATGGTGCCGCCGCGCTCGATCATCTCCTTGCCGCGGAAACTGCGGCCGTCGATGTCCGACCCGAAATTCAAAGCCCCAAAGTGGCCCATGGCGACCAGAAAGCTGCCCGTGCCGACGAAAGGGTCGTAGAACAGCCTGCCCGGCGCCGCGTGGGCCATGTTCGCCGTGATCAGCGTCAGCTCCGCGTCCATGGACGTCGTGCTGATGTACCGCCGCTTCTTGAGGTCGTACTTGTTGATCACGTCGCGGCTGCTGTTGGCCAGCCAGCGGCCGAACCAGATCCGCTTGGGCTCCTGGCCTTCTGGCACGGGGCGGAGGATGGGAGTGCTGCTGCTGCTGCTGCTGCTGCGTCCCTCGGGAGTAGTGGCAGCACCCGTGGCGGTGGCAGCGTCAGCGGCAGCCACATCCCAGCCGTAGTCCTCCAGGACCCAAAAGTCCTGGTCCGGGTTCTTCAGGCGGATGGGACCCTGGAAGCCGAGGAAGGAGAATGACTGGATAATCTCGCGTTTCTTGTCGTTGCTGCGCTTGCCCGCGAAGCTGTCCACCGTGAAGCGGAACGAGTCCGTCTGGAAGTCGGCCCAGCGGGCTTCGGTCGTCCGCCTGCGGACGTCCGCGTGCACCTCCTCCAGGTTGGTGCCATAGCCCCAGAGCTCGAAGATGTCCTTTGCTAGGATACTGCGGGCAATGAGCGTGCGCGCCGCGGCTTCATCGGGGACTCTGATGACGCAGAATGGGGACTGTGGGTGGGTACATTAGTTCATTTTTGCTGCTTTCTTTCTGTTGGCTCTTGGTGGTGCGGGGGCAGAGAGAAAATTATGTTCGCGGTATTCTGTAGGTGATATGGAAGAGAGGAGTAGGACAGGGGCTTCAGAAGAAACATACATATTTATCGTAGTAGATGAATTCGAGGTCAATGCCGGCCAAGTCAGCCAACGCCTGGATCTCAGGCTGTCGGAAAGACTCGTGGACCTGGGCGAAGCGGATCAGGTATTCCATCGTAATCGTCGGAGGGCTTGCGCTGGGCCCCGCGCCACCGCTGTCTGGTCGAACTATTTCAAATGACTGCAGTATGGCAAGTGCTGAGGAAGATAACAGACAAGAAAGACTCGCAATCTAGTCAATTATCTGATTGGGAGTGTCGATGTGCTTGGCTGGTCAGTGAGAGATGCGGAATCAATTTTTTTTTCCTTATGATCCACTGGATTTGAGGATCCCGTTTGTCGACCTCCCAGCAGCCCAGCCCTGCTCGAAGCTGGAAGAACCACAATGCTACCTGACAAATTTGAATGAGACTGGGAGTGTTTTGTGTACGATGGAGAAGTATATGAAGTATTTGTAACTGCTTGTCATGATATTTTGTCATCGTAACAATAGTCAAAACGAGGTCGAAACAAGAATAGATACATTCTAAGCCGCAGAGAAAAATAATAAACACATGCTTGATGATAACAGTAGGTGTATGTCTTCGTCCATCAATCTTCACAGCCTATCCTTCCCTTTTGGTGATATAAAAACCCACAATGCAAATCCAACCCAATATACGCCGTATCTCGAAACCAGCTAAGAGCCAGAGAGGGGATGGCTAGCAACACAAAACACCGTCGCTATGCGCCGACAACCCGAAACACATGTCGTGACTCGTAACCTTCAACTTGCGAAATCTCCACCTTCTCATCCTCCGGGATCATCTCGTGTTTGAGCTCCCATCCGGCCCGGCGGCAGAGCTCGGAGACCACCACGTCGCAGTCACCCAGCAGATCAATATCGAACTCCGTATGCGTCACGGGCTATTGCATTCGTCAGGCTGGAAGAAAGATTTGAGGCAATGAAGTAGGACTTACAGTTCGAGAGATGTAGATCTGAGGCACGTGACGAGGCAGCACGCCGGGGGCCTCTGCGACAGGTGCCACTTTCAAAGACGTCCCGATGACAATGACCAGATCCACCCGCTCGCGGTCGTGGTGAAGCAGGCGACGACCGAATTCGTCCGGAAGATCCTCGCCAAAGAATGTAATATCAGGCTAATTGACTGTCAGCAAGAACGCCGGGCGAAGACATTCCGAAAAACGTAGGACTCACTTTCATAACACCGGGAGACGGGATTTCGTATTCATCATCCGAGCTGTCGCCGTGGTCGTCCTTGCGATTTCGGTGCACACCCGTGGTGCTGCGCTTGCGTTTCGCGCCCGTCTCCTCTGCGATTCGGTCACGGCACGCGGCGCACTGGGGGATGGCACCCTTCTTGATCTCGTCGAAGATCTCGTCCCCGGACACTTGAAACTTGCACTTGACACATGTCGCGGTGGCGAACGAGCCGTGACACTGGACGATATTCTCCGCGGCAACACCGGCATTGGCCTCGATGTTGTCGATATTCTGGGTGTAATTGGTCAACAATTTACCCTTGTCCTGCAGCAGGCGAATGAACGCGTGCGTCGGCGAGAACTTCTTTTCCGTAGGGAGGATGTCCTTGGCGACCGAGAAAAAGATGCTGGGGTCTTCGCGAAACACATGGATGTCGAACACCTCCTGCGGATCGCTCAGACCCAGATGCGCGAGCTGTGAGTATAACCCGGTATCCTTGGAGCGAAAGTCGGGAATCCCAAGACTGGTGGATATCTACAAGATTCGATCAGTATATCGCAAACCCTTGCGCGACAAAAAAAAAAGGTTGCGCCCTGGGGATGACTCACGCCAGCGCCGGTCAGCACAACGATGTTTTTGGACTCCTTCAGCAACCTCACCGCATCGTCGATGGTATTGTACTGTGGGAGCTTCGGACGTCTCGAGAACTCGCGCGAGATCGCGATCGCGAGGAGAGGGTGGTAGGCCTCGTCGGGGGCACCATCGAGGAACGCCGGGGGCTGGATGCCGAACGCCGTGCACAACTTCTTCGCAGTGACCGTCTCTTTTGCAATGGTCTCTTCGACGAACGCAGCCTTGCCGATTTCATGGAGGCGCTTTCGGTAGGCGACAGCCTCCTCCAACGTACAGGCATCGGGGACTATAGATACTCGAGCGCGGCGCAGTTAGCGGGTGGGGATTTGGGTGCGCACAGCCAGAGGGCGCCGAGGAAAGCATTTGTATAGATGGGATTTGACTTTACCTCCATCGCGAAGTTGCTCGTCCCGCAGTACTTCAATGGCGTCCTCGAATAGGGACTGCGTTTCCCACTCCTCGCCCGAAGCGTCACTGTCGGTCTCGAAGTCGGTCTGAGACATCTCGGCCTTGGTGGCAGTGGCGGTGGGGTCCTCGTTCGCCGAGGCTGGCTTGTCGATTACATCCGCGGAAGTCATCTCGACGGCGACGGCGGGGACTGGGGTCTGTAACGACGACGAGCTTTCCCCGCTAGGCGCGGATTCCAGGTCCATCCTGTACCGGAAGACAAGGGGGGGGGCACTTTCCAGCGACCGCTAAAACGACCCTTTCCCCAACTCACATTGAGCTCAGTTTCGCCACCCCGAAGATGCTTGGCTGGGACAAAATTGGCTTGGATTAACTCCGGGGGGAGGGAGGGAAACGCGCTCGGGTACTACTTTATCCGGCCCGTACGATAATGGAATGGACAATGAACCCAGAAGGATTTAGTGAACTTGCTTCATATGAATGAGAGGTGCTCTTCCAAGGTATTATTAGATTCGTTGGTATTTTGAGCAGGAATAACATGACTTTTGGTTTGGTATCATGACAGGGAAGGGGGGGTTTCGTAACATGGACATGCAGCGTTTGTTGATTTCAGGAGTCAGCCATTTCGTGGTCACTGTCTGAGTCCACCTCAATCTCCTCGTCCTCCCAACCTTCCTCACCCTCCTGGCCCTCGGCCTCTTCGTCCTCAATCTCTTCGCCCAGTTCCTGGTTCATCTCCTGAACCAGTTCGAGCGCATGCTCCTTGAGCCTCTCATCCTCGTACTGCTGGATCTCATAGAGAGCTAGACCCTGCTTGAGCCATTCGCGACTGGCAACGAGCGATGCAAGGCGCTTGGCCTCTGGGGTATCGGCTTCCTCTTCCTCATCCGCAGGGGCTTGTTGCTTCCCAGCTAGGAGATATAAGCACCATCCACCAAGATACCAAGCCTCGATACTCTGGTCGTCTTCCAGTATCAACCGCTCCAGGACCTCCAATGCCTCAAACTCCAGCGCGACCTCCATCAAAAGACGAGAAAGACTGATTCTGGTAGCAAAGTCCGGGATGCTAGGGTCCTCCGGGGGCAGGTCCTTCCAGATTTCGAGACTCCTTCTCAATGCCGCTTTGGCGTCGTCTGTCCGTAGCTGCGAAATGCGAATGGAAGCCAGGGTCTGGAGGACCTCGGGTCCGTTGGGTTCCACAAGGAGGGCCTCCGTGATGAGCGTCTCGCAACGGTTTTCTGCGTCTTCCTCCCAGCTATTTTATGTTTAGCACGGAAGATTCATCCTCTTGCAGCCACACTGGGGGAATGTTGGGGTACCACTTACGAGAGATCGGTCATATAGATCTCCGCCACGGCGCATAGGGCATTGGCCATCTTGCGCTTCTTCTCCAGCAGCTCGGCCGCCTCCTGGGGCCCGGGGTTCTGTTCTAGTTGCTGGATGGCATGCCGGAGCGAGGAGACACCCTTCTCGAACCACCAAACACTATCTTTTCCACCTTCCTCGCTCAACTGGGCCAGCCACAAGAACTTCTCCGCGCCGCCGCCCTGAGATTCCGGTATCGTACCGTTGGGGTCGGCTTCGACCGCGCGCAGGAAATGAGCTCGGGCGGTGTCGATATCTCCGAGTTCGACGTAGATCTCGGCGACGGCGATCAAGGCCGACAGGTGGGAGGGGGAGCCCGCGGGCGAGCTGTCGAGCGCTTGCTGCGCTAATTGTAGAGCGGCATCGGCCTGGCCGGTCTGGATGAGTATCGTCGCCTGGTCCAGGAGCTGGGTAGGGTCTTCGTTCATCTTGGTCTGCGACTGCTTCACCGAACCACCGACGCCGAAGAGGGACTTCTCGCGAGACTTGGAGGATTTCTTCTGTTTCTGAGGCCTGGACTTGCCCATGTTAAGGTAATGCGTTCAAACTGAGTATGTTTTCGTCAATTAATAGGTCAAAAGATGCAAATGACACAATTGCGGAAAGATAGAAACCTTAGGCAAAAGGAATAAAAGTATAGCAATTGGAGCTTGTTGGATCTTTTTTTCCAAGGCGGAGCATAGAAATTCCCTTTTTCGGGCGGGATAAATTTGGGGCGGCCGGCCTTCCCTTATCTGTTTGTGCTGTTTGCACGTCGACCGCAACATTCTACTCCATGCCGGATTGATGAAGAGGGACCGATCATTCTATGCTCTAGCTCAGGATTATCGAATCAGGAAAACGCGAAGCGATCTTGGTGCTTGCTCATATGTACTACAAGCTCTATCGCTATTAGTGCTCGCCAACCATCAAATCTGAGAGCTAGGACCTCTCAGCAACGAGTTTTCACTCACCCCACGAAACCGAATACCCCTCCACCACCCCCGCCGGCGGCGCATTGAGAGCAAAGATGGGTCGCGAAGATCAGATCGAAGAGCGCGAAGTGCTCGACTCCATTTTCCCCGAGGAGATTACAGGTATGCAAATTTAGCCCAGTGGCCCAGGAGACTATTGTTCTTGATTTCTGGCTCTGGCGATAATTCTAGAAATCGTTGCTGACGAAAAGAACCTGCAACAGACGTTTCTGACACTTCATATCGGATATCGATCGTCCTGGACCCCCCGGACAATGACGTCGAAGAGCTCGAGCCGCCAGTTTTGCTTCTGCACGTGTCATACCCGGAAGACTACCCGGACGTGGCCCCGGAACTCGACATCACCGCGGCCCCTAATGCACCGAAACACCCCCGAATCGATGTCTCGGAGGACAAGGACCGGCTGCTCGAGGCGCTGCAGCCGACCATCGAAGAGAACATGGGAATGGCGATGGTGTTCACCTTGGTGAGCGCGCTGAAGGAGAGCGCCGAGCTGCTGATGGCGGAGCGGGTCAACGCCATTCACGCGGAGCGCGAGATGGAGGCGGCCAAGCGCGAGGAGGAGGAGAACCGGAAGTTCCAGGGCACGGCGGTCAACCGGGAGACGTTCCTGGCGTGGCGGGACAAGTTCATGAAGGAGATGGAGGACGAGGAGAAGAGGCTGCGCGAGGAGAAGGAGGCCGAGGACAAGAAGGCACAGAAGAAGGCGCCCGGGAAGGAGGAAAAGAAGCTCACGGGCAAGCAATTGTGGGAGCGCGGTCTGGCTGGCAGAGCAGACTTTGATGAGGACGAGGAGGATGCTATGCCCGCTGCTGTAGAGAAAATGAAGATCGCCGCATAGAAGCGTGACGTGCTCTATGACACAATTTACAAGTATACATTCAGTTCGCGCGCGAATGGGCCTTTAACCAAGATATCAAGGTGTCCAGGCCGACAGATGTGTCTAGTATAAAGCGGGTATTGATCAAAAATACCGGGCAGATTCTCGAGACATATGGCTATGATTCGATGCTATGAATCTGACGTGAAGGAATGGGGTATATTCGCCTGGAGAACGCATAGAGGACTCGCCCACTTGGGCTGTGCTTGGGCTGTCTTCGTCGAGTTGAGGTTACTCGTCCAATCCTGACATCCTCTTCAATAAATTATGCACGTGCCCTAAATCCCAGTCAGGTAGAATGCTTGGTTAGTTCCGCGCGCTCTAGCTGGCCGACTGCCTTCTGCTCCGTTTCTAATCCTCCCGTGGTCTCTGTTGGAGCATCCGCCGCCATCTTGGCGGCCCGTTCCTTGGCCTCTTTGGCGGCCAACGCCCGCTCCGCAAGGACGACTTTCCACATGGCTGTCGCAAGCTCATGATCCTTGCGCTCCATCTCAAAGACTCGTCGTTTGAGTTCCATAATGCATAATTCAACGGGATGGCGCCACGTGGCCGTTGGCTCTCGTTCCGCTTGGTCGGTTAATCGATCCCACTCATCCTCATCCTGAGCCCAGAGTCTTGCCTCCTGTAACTTGCTGCGCACGCGAAGTGTCCTGTTTCGTTTGCGTTGTTTGCCCCGGATAATGTGCCCAAGGATCGCGGGTTGGGGTTTGTTGATCCGCAGGAAGGGGACGCCGCGCGCATTCACGAGTTTCGGGATGCGGCGTATCCCGCTGACGACCGGCCGGGGACGCGACAGAACCGGTATGGCATCGGGATGTCGCGACATGGTCCGCCTCGTGGCCTCCCGGTTGGCCCTCTTCTTCAGCTCGAGGGCGCTCGGGGGTTTTCTCGGCTTCAACCGCGCCAGCTCTCTTTGCATTGCGGACTGGCGCTCCTTTGCTTCGGCGGCTTCGGATAGGAGGGTCCGGAGATGCTTGGTCTCCGTGCGACGGCCTTGTGATACGGCATGGAGCAAGTCGAGTGCCTGTATATTTGCCCAATTTGTCGGCGGTTAGCACTGGATGAAACCTGAAGCGATGGGGACAAAAGAGATGAGGATTTGCGTACATCATATCCCGCTTTCAATGCATGCGTGACTCTTGACGGACTTTCAAGACCCTTGTATCTGTGGAATCGTAGTTGTATGTGCTGCTTGGGTGCATTGCGCTCCGCTAGATTTTCAGGTAATTTGGCGCATTGTCGGAGAAGCGCGCGGTAGAGCGCTAGGGCTGTCACGACAAGTGGGCATTAGTCTCATCCTGCAGGGTGCGTTGTTTGCTCTGTCTGTTGGGGTACGCACCTGTGAACCGGTGGATTGAAGATTTGTTGGGCACCACCAATTTGTGCATGGTGGGATAGATAAGGCGTTCAATGTCGAAGTCAAATATATTCTGGGAAGCATGTGACTGAGAAGATATCAATCGCGATCACGTGTCAACACATGGCATAAGGGCGATTGACCCATATGTGTATGGGCAAGGAGCCGAATTTTACAGATATCTAGGCAAATTTTCAATCCAGACCATGGTCCCTATTCTGTAACCAGTCATCGCTGAAGTTGATGAACAGTATGAGTCTAGATTAGGCAGCGCGCTACACTAAGCTTCACGTAGCTTCATAAAGTTGTCATAATGCCCGACCCTCACCGCCTTGGTTGTGTAGTGTAATGGTTAGCACCCAGGATTCTGATTCCTGTAATCCCGGTTCGATCCCGGGCACGACCTGTTTTTGCTTTTTGCTGGTTCGGTATCTTGAAGCTCCATCAGTTGCATCGGCTTAGCCGCCAATCGACCCAATGGCATCGGCACCTGTACAGTACTATCCTGACAGAAATCCGTGTGCCCTATCGGTTTGCTGTCTCACTCACTGTGGCAGTGCCTAAGCCTACTTAGTTCCATGTCCATGAAACCCTCAGAGGCTAATGATAAATGCCATAGCAAAGGACAGTCTAAGTAGCAAGGTTGACAGGAAAGACCACACCGACAAGGATTTCTAGAATCGATGAATTGCGACTAGGCTTCGATTGACACCACGCCATGCCCGGCGTTATGCATAGACTGTACACGCTCTAAGAAGTAAAACGAAAGAAGACGCGAACGAAACCGCACGCACAAACCCAACCAGAATACTCCTCATTCGGTTCCCGAGTCATTTCACAGCATCACGTTGCTTAGAAGTTGGAGCCCTCCGGGGGCTGGGGAAGCTTCTTGTGCTGGGGCAGAGCCATATACCTGTGATAGAGTAAGAACCTGCATGCACCAGAGGGGGAACAGGGAGTCAAGGCACGACATACCGCCGAAGTTCGAGCAGAATAGTCTCCATGGTGAAATCGCGCTTCCATTGAGCCAGGCAAGGCAGCTTGGTGGGGTCAACCTATAGAGAAGTCAGTACTCCTGACCCTGTTAGGCTATCAGCGAAGCTCCATGCGTACCTTGCCGGTGTGGGGATCAACGCATGGCAGATTGATCCGGGAGACGAATTGCAGTGTGGGGGGATTGTCAGGGTAATCTGGACCGCAGTGGATCTTGACACTGTATATTCTGTTCTCATGGACGCTCTGTTCATTCGTTGTCGAGTCAGTACTGCTGGGGTATTGTGGCGGGAATAAGTATGCGGAGGGGACGGACATGAGGAGGGCCCAGGATAGTGCCATTCCAGTTGCTCATCATCATATCTTCGCCATCATCTAGACCGTACGAGCAAGCCTCTAATGATGGAAACAAAAGTGCGTTAGTGAACTGTGCGTCATGTGCCACCTTGTTTTGTGAAGGTATGCTCACCTGCGCCCAAGCCCTTCTCGCCCTTCTCGAGCTCTTCAAGCAACCTGAAGTTTCTAGGAATCTTGGCCGACATGATGCGGTATATGAGTTTGGAGAGGGGGTTTTGTGTATCTTGAATGTGGGGAAATGAAGGTTGTTGTTGAAGAAAGGTAAAAGAGATCAGTACCGGAGGCGGAGGAGGGGCACCACGACTTTATCCCACTTGCGGCAATGACAATGGGCACTGCAATGGATGGCTATTGCGTATCTTGTCCCGCCGGGTTCCTGAAGAACAGGTCATGTGATGATAAAGAACCAGCCGATACCACGTGATAGCCTCCAACTTATCTCCGTCGCTGCCTTGGCGCTCCTGAGAGCTGCCACTCCGGATGATGCGTTCGTTGCTTGATTGTTCGATTGTCCCTTTGAATGTGCTGGAAATGGCATTTATGTATTTGTATTGATGTGCATTTACCCTTAATAAGACGTATATTGCGTCAATCCATGTGCTCTTTCACCAACCTCTCTTCTCTTCTTCTGCCGACCCAATCAGCGATCCAACCACATGAAGCCACATCTGCCTAGTGCTTGCTACCTTACTGTACTGTACTATCCGACTCAACTGGCGCCGGCCATGATATGATTCAGCACCCTGTTTGAAATGTCCTCCCAGTTCCTCCAGGCGGAACTCTTGAATCTTATCCAAGAGTCTAAGAGAAGAAACTCGGAACTTCGCACTGTAAGCTTCCACCGTCCAAAAGGGATTCTTGAACATTGATGCTGACTAACGATAATACAGGCCGCCGAAGAGTCGCTCAATGACTTGAAGGCACTACCTTCGACCTCAGAGGCTCAGATATCTGCTGGTGAGTGTCTCATGGGACCATGACTATGATCTAATTCAAACGCCATGGATGCTAAGATTGCGTGAGACCTTCTGCGCAAACCCAAGTTTGTAAATCCCTTCATTATCGCTTGCCATAGTCGCCATGCCAAGCTCGCAAGCATCGGAGTCATCTGCCTGCAAAGGCTGGTGGCATCCCGGTCATTACCTCCGGAGCGCCTTCGAGATGTACTCTCGGGCCTGAAGGAGACGGCGAACATGAGTAAGTCACTCAATCAAGCCGATCAATCCGTGCTTTACTTACCCTGTGAAGGCCTGGATATCCAACTGAAGATACTGCAAACTCTACCGTCCTTGCTTCAACATTATGCGAGTGATCTGGGCGGGGATCTTCTTGTGAGCACGCTGGAGATTTGTGCAACCTTGCAGACGAACAAGATGCCTGCTGTTTCAAGCACAGCCGCAGCAACGCTCCAACAGCTTGTGGTATCCACATTTGAGCTAGTCACCATCGAAGACAGTAAGATTCTCGAGATGTTGATGAAACTCGGAACAGCCGATTCTGACCATATTGCAGAGAACTTTGACAAAACGACTCCCACGGTCACTGTCAAGGTGGACGGGAATCCCATCAACGTGGGACATTTTGCGTATGACGCTCTACGTGTAGGCTTTCGCTCCCTACCTGCAGCTCTCTGATTGGAAAACTAACGGATGTATCAGGTCCTGGATGACCTATGCCGTCTCGTAGACGGTGAACCGCTCTATTTCCTTCGCATCAAATCTCTGTCCACGCCGTTCACCCTAGAGCTCATCGAGAGCATCCTACTCAATAGTGGCAGGCTTTTCGTCACCCATGCCGAGTTGACTCAGGTCTTGCGAGCTAAGCTGATGCCAGTGCTGGTGCGAATCCTCTCTGAGAGACATACTTTCTCCCAGACTGTCCGTGCCATTCGCATCCTCTCTGTGCTACTCAAGCGCCACATATCTCCCCTACCTGCCGAGTGCGAAATGGCCCTCGGACTCGTGACGCATTTACTTGAGCCAGACGGGACATCACCGTGGAAGCGAGTACTCTGCATGGAACTGTTCCGAGGATTGTATGCTGAGCCAGGTCTGGTAAGGCTCATATATTCTTTATACGACGGGGAGGAGAGAAGGAAGAATATTTTGAAAGACCACATGGCCGCTCTGGTTCGTCTCGCCTCTGAAAAGCCTTCTCTGATTGGAGTCAGCGCCCGGTCGACTGTACCTTTACGGACCGAGCATACAAGAGCTGTCACCGAAGAGCAAATTACTCTCGAAGCAGGGGGTGTTGCTGGCGTCATCGGAGCATCCGTTCCTATCACAGACTCCGATGCGCCGGGAATCAGCAGCCAATGGAGCGTGGTCCGAACACCTTATATGGAATTGCTCGATAAGACTGAGCCGCCATCGCCACCTGAGACATATATCTACAGTCTTGTACTGAACTGCATCAGCAACTTTGCTGAGGGGCTTGCAAAGTTTATTCTACCATTAACAGTCCCCGACCTGAAACAAAAGCGGCGAAGTCGTGCGACTGGTCCCGAACAGGGGACTGATACCCCGAAACAGCCTCACAGCAGGAAGTCGCCAGTACCCATTAACCCTCTTCATTTGGAGTCTCATCCACAGCTTGCTGCCATCAAAAGCTGTGCTGGCATTATCGATAACTGCTGGCCAGCCATTCTTGCAGCATGCTCTACGTTCTTGTACGCAGCCCTTGATGATGACTTCTACCACAACCTTGTCAGGTCTTTTCAGAAATTGGCGCATGTCGCTGGTCTACTCAGATTGTCGACGCCCCGGGATGCCTTCTTAACAACACTTGGCAAAGCAGTTATGCCAGCGGATACCGGCAGTGTCAAGCCTGCGAATACGCCGGCGTCCGCTACAACGGCTCTGCAACCCAAACAAACGACAGATGATAAAACGAAGGACTCGCATGTATCTCTCGGTAGCTCGTCGGTATCTGCCGAAGTCAGCAGTATTGCTCCAGAGAGTACTTTCGTGTCTTTGAGCACCAGGAATCTCCTGTGCTTACGCGCTTTGCTTAATTTAGGAATCGCGCTTGGGCCAACTCTAGATCAGCCGGCCTGGTCCATTGTACTCGGCACCCTTCAAGATACTGATATTTTGATTGGTTTGACCACAAATCCCCAGGCCATGACAAGCTCCGCGGAAGCCTCGACTGCATCAATGGATGTGCCAAAAGCCAATCTCGGCGCCGAGATTATAGCCGTGCAAACGGCATCCGCAAAGATGTTCGAGAGCAGCGGCGACTACCCCATTGAGCCATTCCAAAATCTCCTGACTGCACTTTTAGACCTTTATGGGCCCGCTGAGGATGCCTCACAGACTGCACCGCAGTCTCCTACCGGTGAGCTTCTTTCTCCGCGCGCCAGTCTCATGCGCAAAAACACCCACCGCGTGTCGCTTTCGGTGGGGAAGTCTAGGACACAAGATGAATTGGTGAGGTTTGTGCTCGAGAAAGCCAACGAGATAGCATTGGCAAACGTTGATCGACTGTCTTCATTGATTGAGTCCGACCTGAGCGCTTGGAATCTTCTCACTACCAGGCTGATGTCAACTGCGGCAGACAGAGCGATCAGCCAGAAGTTCCGGCTAAGGGCGAATGAGGTACTGAACAGCATTGTGACACTGACCATGGCGCAAAGAGCTGGCGATGATCCTGCGAAGCAGAATGACCGACAGCTCAGGAATCTCCAAGCGCTCAAGATGCAGATTAGGTTGCTCTATGAAGCAAGCGGCTGCTCGATCGGCTTCCCCACTGCTCCAGTTGTCGAAATTCATGAACAAAGCCTGGAAACCCTCAAGAGCATCCTTGAACAATATGGCGAGACATTCGTGGATGGATGGGCTCTTGCTTTCGACCTCATTACAAGTGTATTTGGTGAGAGGGTCGAGAATGAGAAATCCGGGAACTCGAACGCAAGAAGCCAGGCCAGATGGGTAGCAGATTCAGTTCGACTTGTGCGGGTTGCTTATCAATCGTTACAACTGATAGCCTCTGACTTCGTGGCATTGCTTCCACTACCCTGTCGATTGGACCTGGTGGAATCATTTTCCAAGTTTGCTCAACAGCAGCAAGATTTCAACATCTCTTTAACAACTACATCATCTTTCTGGAACGTCTCAGACTTTCTCCAGGGACAAATCGAGCAATTCTGCATTGAGTCTCACATTGATGCCTCCGTGAGCGAGGACGCGCTTGCGAACCTCGCCAAGGGCGATGACCCCTCAATATCTCGGAATGCTTTGTGGCTACTGCTCCTCTTGAGGATAGTAGACTTGACAACAGATAGCCGATCGGAGGTCCGAAACTGTGCTATTCAGACTTTGCTGAGAATTTTCGATGCTTATGGGCAACAATTATCTCCCAAGGCATGGTGTTTGTGTCTTAACAGAGTTCTGTTTCGTATGGTGGAAGAAATAGAAGATGAGCTCTGCCTGACACTGGAGAAGAATAAGTCCGACCACTCTGATAGCACGAAGGCCTGGATCGAGACAACAGTCGTTATGGTCAAAGGAGCATCTGATCTGATCACGAATTTCTTTGGATCGATAGTCCAGGACAATCTATTCGATCAATCATGGGAGCGCCTGCTGGGGTACTATCAGAAGCTGCTTAGTTTGCGGCTTCTTGAATTCAGTGAAGCTGCCTACTCCAGTCTGACGAGCACTCTCCTTCGGATACATGGTCCCGGCGAGTTCAGCAAGCAGTCTCTGCGCTCAACCTGGCTCTTGTGGCTGAATGGTCACCCGTCCGATCGGGAGGATATGCTCAACCTGGATAGACCGAACCAAGATGCTGCCATGGCCTATCTTCAAGCATTCCAACAGATATATCGTCTATACAAGGATGATCTTGAAGATGAAAGTTTCACGAAGATCCTTAGCCATTTTCAATTGCTTGCCTGGAACTCGATATCCCCGCCTTACTCTCCGGACATCGACCGCCCTTCCAAGGTACAGGCGCTTCTCTTGGACTGTCTGAAGCTCTTGTGCTCGGAAGGCAATTCGCAGTCGAGCATCGTTGTATGTCTGGCAGAACTGGCAGGTTCACCTCTATCGAAGTGGTCGCCAGAGAGTGATTCCAAGAAGCCCACTTACGTCGCTTTCGCAAAGGGCGTGATAGACCTTCTAGACTGGTATATCTCCGAGCACGGCATCAAGAAAGACATATTCCTGGACGGATCTCTGGCGACCGCCCTGGGTTATCTGGTGAACTCCATTGCTTTGAGATATGAATGGCCGGGAAAGGACCGTGAGCCGAGTCTTTCGCAGAAGTCCACCACTGCTTCCCTGAACATCCTGCAGGGGGGAATCCCATACGTGGAAAAGCAATATGCCACCGCCCAG